ATAAAATTAATTCTTTTTCCGCTGTTCTCTTCCTTATTTCAGCTATATTGTTCCCAATAGAAAAAAAAATGGGGGCTGGGCGCGCCGCCCCGCGCCAGCCAAAGGTGCACACCTTTGGAAAGCTTCGTAAGAGCCCATGGGAGCGCACTTTTTCAAACATGGCGCTGACAACCCTACTCCTACCCCTCACTCATTCAATTGTAGTCAATTCTATTCAAACATTGTTGATTAACCATTGCGACTCTTATCACTCTCACTAATGAGACTATTCCTTGAATGTGGGAAGTGCCGTAGCATGGGAAGACTCTTTCTTGTTGCCAATCCTGCAGATTGAAAAACTGAGAGGCCTGACGGAATCTGGAAACAAAAAGTAGACCAGAAATACATAATGAATTGTAGATCTCTGTGTATTGGTTAAGCAGAATGTGATCCTACAATGTACTTGTTCAGCACGCAAAGTAGTGACACAATTATCAAGTCTGTGAATTCTTGGTCGACTTGGAAAGGTAAGTGGAGGACTTCCCGTTGGATCTGGGACCCTCGCAGAAGTCGATCTAGACCCGAAAACTCTTAATTCTCGCCGAGAAATTTGAATTTTGCGGCTCTAAACTAACTCTGGGAGACCCGCAGATGTTGACGGGAAGTCCTCCATTAGGACTTCCCGTCGGATCTGGGACCCTCGCAGAAGTTGATCTAGACCCGAAAACTCTTAATTCTCACAGAGAAATTTGAATTTTGCGGCTCTAAACCGACTCTGGGAGACCCGCAGATGTTGACGGGAAGTCCTCCAGTGACCTGGAGTTTGATTTTTATGAGGTTGATGCCCTTTATTTACAGGCTATGACAGGCTCAATATTCAAGTACAACAAGATAAATAGCCCGGTTCACGTAGCTGCTCGTTCCCAAATAAAATTTGTGGGACGAGCAACACTTAACAACATCTCGTTAAAATTTTGGCGGAGTCTCACGCACAATTTAAGCAAAACAGTTTAAGCGACGAGCAGTGCGACTTTTCACGCATGTCATAAAAACGCCCTACGTGAACCGGGCTAATAGATACCATATGTGTTCAGGAATGCAGACTGGAATTGCCAATGAAGTACAATTAACCATCATGTCCCGCATCCGGCTCACACACTTCTCAAGCCTTTTTGGGCCATTGGGAACGATTTGTTACCTGGCAGGTGTTGTTTGTAAGGACTACCCAAGTCCGGCAAAATTACTTTCCAGAAAGCAAATGCAGGGTATATGGACTCGCTCCGGGTTGGATTCCAACTTGGAGGGCAACTTAGTTCTACTTGCAGGGAGGGTTCTTCACCGGCAAGCCAGTGGAGTACATATTCCTGGAAGGAATCTTGGAAGTCCGAGTGCTTTGAATGCAAATCGGACTTTTCATTACTCCTCATTTGGTCATGACGATTTGCCTTGTGATTATACACTTGGCTGGTACTTATTGCTTCTAGATTCGCCCACCGACTGAGAGAGGTCTGCGCATTCTTGTAGATGCAGATCTCTGTCATGGTCCTAGACTATAATATAGCATTTGACCTTCGATTTCTAACCCGAGTCAATTGGGAAACTGCATCCACATTTTCGGAGTTTGGTCTTTATGAAGATTGCCTTGTGAATTCGACAACCTCATAAATTCTCAAAGGACTCTTTGAAAGATATTGAAGATTTGTGGTGAGGGTTTTACTACACGAATACGCCTAGCATTAGCAAATCACGACGATGATTCTTTTGATCTACTGGCAAAGCTAGCAAGGCTCAACAACATAACGACTGGACGTGATGACGAGCTGGAGTTACGCCCAACTGTCAAGCAGACAGCTGGAGAGAAGCCTATGTTCGAACTACTCAATCAGCACCTTGGCGTTCTCAACATGACCAATCCCTTGGAAATGACTCATGTTGACTGGGACAATACCAGGTTGACTTGATAGCTCCAAGGAAGCTGTTGACTCAACCTAGGTTTTGAGATCAACCGAAGAGAACTTGGGTGGTGATTGCTCTACTTAAAGAGCTGCTATCCATCAAACATTTTCATTCCTCACCACATCCCATCAAGTCTTCTACTTCTACTGTTTGTATACCAGTACCCAACCCGAATATTGATTGTTCATTGTATTTTATATTTAAAATCTCTTCTGTTTATAAAGCCGAGCTTACAGACTACAAACACAAATTTTTCTTATCTACTCAATTTTTGTTCATAACAACTCTCAGTAAAATCAACAAACCCAACAAGCATACCAAACTCAGCTCACCACCATGGTTTCTTTCAAACTTGCCCAACTTGTTTCAATCGTCGTTGTTGGATCGACATTGATGAATATCGAAGCTGGCCTCATTCCAAGAAGCACCGTAGTTGCCGCGCGACATGAGTGAGTGTGCCTTGTATCTTTTGAGCGAGTGTAGCTGGAAAATCCCGGCGGTACAAGCACAAAGATTCCTGACAGTCTTGCTCCTCCCTCTTTTTCCACTCTCAACAGTGCTCAACCAGCTCCGTCAAACACGCCAGGCGGCAAGACTCCTAGCATCAATCCAGCAAACACCAAGCCAGCCACCGCTGCACCTGCTCATACGCCCAACACTTCAAAGTAAGTAGTGCCTTGACTGATTTGGAGAGCCCTGCACTCCATCTTCATGGTAAAAAATAACGAAACTTTTGTGTCTGACTATGTTTCTC